CTACACTTTGATCTTAGCCATAGGCCGAGAAGCGATATCGAAAGTTGATTCGAACGCCCTTTTATACTTTTTTAACCTACGAAGTGATTGCGAGTATTGTGCGCCATCTGGTCGTTAACCGTGAGTTAATCATAGGACTTGTCTGGCGCTTACTTCCATGCAAGCAGTGCTATTTGGCTTTGTAGGGACCTTTATAATGTTGATTCAATGGAAAACGGCATTAAAATTTGATTTTTGATTAATTTTTCTGAGTAGTTAGTGGAATTATTAAAATGTGTGATAAATATTTACTTTTTCTTATTTTGGTTTTTTTAAGTACATTTGAAAATCGAATTTTTTAAATATTTTAAATAACTAATGAATATTCCTAACCTTTTGAAAAAGATATAATAGAAATAATTATTTACTTTTAAGTTTGAAGAAGCGTAACTTTTTTATTTCTTTTATCCAGTTTTATACTGATTTTATGGTATGATTTTTAACACATATTTGAATATACTAACCATTATTTTATTCTGTTTTTATTTTGTAATATGCAGCGTTTAAAATTTCATAAATATTATTTGTTGTTTTGCTTTTATGAGCTTTTTCCGGATTATAGCAAATTTGTAAAATTGGATAATGATATTGTGTAAAACGACGTAAAACGACTAATGATATTGTGTTTCACTTCATTTAGTCATATGCTTTACTAGATATCATACAAGAAGCAAATATTTAGTTTGTTATAAAATAATATTAAAGGAAAAATATACTGATTTATTGAAAAATATTAAAAACTATTTATTTTTACAATTTTTTTTATAAATTTTAACAGGGCAATTATGTTTAATTACTACCACAAATTATAACTAATTTAAAAATATTTAACTCATAGAAATATCCAACCCCTGAGAATGGTTAGAAATAAAATGTGTTAACATACATTATTAATCATGAGTTAATATCTTTTTCCGTTCTTGGTACAAGAAATTTAAATGAATGTTCTTGTATTATGTATTTTTTTTGTAACATGGAAACGATTCAACTATTTGATGGTATTTCTGTTTTCTGGTCAAAGCTTTCGTAAAGAAAACTGTTATATTTTAAGAATTTTTTTTATTAAGTATTTTATTTAATTAAGTATTCTTTTCCACTTTTAACATTCTACGCATTAGAAAAAAATAAATTAGTCTTATGATAGTACATAGGTATTTATATTTTATTAATTTTTATTTCAGACTGTCTATCTACACTCTGTCGAAAAGTTTATCAATATCTAGAAAAATCGTGATAAATCAATCATTGTGATAAAATCATTGTGATGATTTAATAACTGCAATAGAAGAAATATTGAGAGGAAAATTCTTCTTGTCATATTTACTAAGAATTCGTTACTATCATGAATATATAATATATAATAATATATTAATATTTTTTCACAGATGACTTTAAATTTAATGGATAAAAAGATATACTACAGTTTACAATTCAATATATTAATTGTCCAATCTGTACCATGTACTTCACATAGTGCTTTTACTTTTAAAATAAATGTAATGAATAAAACTTTAAACAATCGCAAGTATTTTTTTATTCATTAATCAGTATAATTTTTACTATTTAATATAAATATACATACTTTACTTTTTCCAGGAATAATTCAGGATGCAATACTACAAAGGGTAACACAAAATTTACCACAAAACTTATTGTGCTCTCTTTCGCAAGCAACAAATCAAACACAATAATTATTCCGAGTCAGGTAAGCTTTTATTTCAAACATTACATTATGTTACATCATATTATATACAGTGGATGTAGAAAATATTCGCACACCGATCAATTTGAAATAAAATGATGTGAAATTGTAATTTATTAACTAATTTTGTATAAACAATGAATTACAAAAACATATTTTTGAAAGTTTCTACAATAGATATAATGAACTAACAAAAAAAATTTTTTTTTTATAAATAAAAACATTGACAAGGAAGTACTGTACTTTGGTTTCTTTTTATTTGTTTTTGTAATTGTTTATCTAACGTCGAAGGAAACAGGATATCCTCTTTTTTTACAGATTCCTTTGTACTCCTGACATAAACAGGATGAAATTTCAATTTCAAATGTAAGTAAATTATATTTATCCTGTAATCCCTAACTTCACAGCTTTCTTCAGAGCGCTTATTGTTCTTGCAACAACGACGTCCAGCTTTCATGCAACCGTTTCATAGTCTTCCTGTCCATAGTCTCATTCTTTTTCCATTCTTTCCATTTTTCATTGTATTTTGCTGTGTCGTCATTGCAATTTTGAATACTGTCTGAGGCTCTATTGCTAGTTCTAGAGGGTGTTAACCTCGTCTTCGAACCATCCTTCTTTGTTTGGGCTTGGGACTAGTTAGGTATTGTCTAGGTATCTAGATATTAACTAAGCGAAGTTGAAGTTTAGTTAACCCATTACCCGCCACAATACGAAAATTGCGAAAAAAAAAATTAAATTAACTGTATATTGATATTCATACTAACCAACTAGAACTATTTTTGTAACAATTATTTTTTTGTTCTTATTAAAATATAAAAATTACAGCCCGTCCCATTTTTGGGGCATTTGGTGAAATGTACTGCAGTAAACTAAAAAAAAAAAAAAAATAAATAAAAGTATGTATTCGTTTTATTCAGCTTTCTAAAAAGTAATACAAAAAAATGTTTGTTATATGTCTATTGGTTTTATGAGATGATCTATTCAGTAATAGCTTACTTCTAAATATACTCTTCTTCTAACAACTTTTGATTTTTGTGAACCTGGTCTTTTACGGCTTGATTCCATCCGTAATCAAGAACTATTTTGCGTCTTATGTCAAGGAGTGAAATTTCTTCATAAAGGTGCGATATTTGGTACAACCTCCAAGTATTTATTACGGCTATATCTTCTAAAGTAGCAATAAGCTCAGAAAGTGTTAAGCTTTTCTTTTTGAATCCATTTCTATAAAAAAAACTTCTAATAGGTACTTTATAATACATTTCGCCAATGTCTCAAAAATGGGACACTGCATTTAGAAGTGAAAAACACTTACCCTGTATATATTTAAAACAACGACGACCTACAGTCTTGCACACTTGGAAAGCGGAAACTTCTTCTTTGGATTCTTTGTCCTCATCTTTGGACATTCTTCTTTCATATTTCATCAATAAAAATTTCTTACTTTCTGTTGAAGTGAACTTCTTGTTATCTAAATTAGCTAACGACATGGTTAGAGAATCATATAAGTCAGGCAACCCTGATAGCATTACATAAGCAATGTCCTCATCTTTCCTTTCTAACCCAGCATCTTGTGAGTAATCAGCTGCTATTTTCATTCTAGATAAGTATGATGTCATTTACTTACCTTCTTTAAGCTGTATTCTTATCATTTCCCTTTTAGTTGCATTATTCTCTGTTTAAATTTCGGTTCATATACCTGCTTAAGGTTTATCCCAGCTTCCTCAGCAGTCTTACAATCAACAATATGTATCTGTTAGTCTGCTTCAACGGTTAATATAATTGTAGCAGGTGCCTTATCAGTCACACTATTATATGCTTGTCGTTCTTCTGCTGTCTTGTCTGCCTTTAACTTTGCATCTCCGGTTACCTACGGCCACAAATCTTTTTAAATAAGATACATCTTTGCTGCAAATTTCCATGTCCTATAATTTTCTCCATTTAATCTGTCAATTTTTCTAGCTTTTGATATTTCTGACATACTTCAATGTGAACAGAGAGGTAATTATAAGACGCAAATTCCAGAAAAGATAATTTTCGTTATAAGCAAGTTTTCACCGAATATTTTCAAAAACTTCTAAAACATCCTACCAATAGTAGAATGTTAGTAGAAGCAGAAAAATTAACATGCGCTTTGGCATTTTGATGGTATTAAGTATAGATTTGAATGCTTGAATCCGCTACAAATCTATCATTATTTTCAATAATTATCTTTTCACCAACTTTTATGTTAGTTACAAAATTACCTTTGTTAGATACTATATCAACAATGTTTCCATCAGTTTGAGATGACTGAAATCCTAATGAAGTCATGGTGAACATTACTCTGACATTACTTCATTAAATCCTATACTAATATTGTTGACAAAATATTGAATTGGCTGAGATCAATAATCTTCAATAAAATTTTCTTGATTATTAACAAATTGATCAAATCTTCATTGTTGCTTTCTGAAATTATAATGAACAAATATTATAAAAGAAACTAAATAAATAAAGATATTTATATATTGTTATTTATAAATTATCTTGACATGTAAATTAATTAAATGTACCTCTGTGTAGCACATGAAGTCACAATCAAAGGCAATTTTTCAATTTAAACTCTTTCTCGAAACTCCACTACACGAGAAGTCGAAGTTTACAAATTTATAATAAATAATACAAATTTTTATTAAATAAAAAATAATTCTCATGATTTAATTCAGAATGAAGATGACTTAATTCAACAATAAAAAATTAAAATTTTTTTTAAAAGTAATGTGATGTCATATATTGCTTAAGAAAAAAAAATAACCTTATATTTTTTACATTTATGGAAGATTATTCTACACTTATGAAATATTCATATAATTTGCTACGAGTTAAGTAGATTTCAGAGTGTACATTTAAAAATTGAAAAAAACCTTTGCTAACTGCCACTAATGGCATTATCTACTTGCCTCTTTCGACACTCTTAATACTCTTGAAAACGTTGACCTGATATTCTTATTTGATTCGTAACGTATCAATCTAAGCCAATGTAATGGTAAACCAATTGCCCAAAGATATTGATGAAGATCATTGCTTTTATGAACATATTAAAAAGATATTATTTTATAAAAATAGTTATGTTCACCTGCTTATTAATAATTAACATCTAAAAAATTACATTCTTCTAATTTTATATGAAGAATATTTTATGAATAAAAAGAATGAAAATAATTTTAAAATACCTTTATTGATTAGTAGTAAATGAATTAAAGGTTAGGATCAACTTTTGACGGACTCTATACTTTCTGCCACATTTAATTAATATTTTGACCAATTTAATAGCGTTATACTAAATTAAGAAAATATATTATCATATATGTAAATCGAAAGAGTAAAAACCAACGGTGCAAACAGTAGCTCCAAAACAGCGGAGTTAGTATAATAATGTCGCAGCTATTCAATTGAGAACATTAGCGTTTGACGCATGCGCAGTGGCTTTAAAGTGTCGTAAAGCTGGCAATCGCTATCCTCGTCTGACAAATGATGTTGCGTACTAACTCTCTCTCACTCTACCTTTAATATTTACCATCTTTAACAGCCAGCAACCCTTATTTGCGGCCAGATTTAATTAAGCAACCGTATATCATAATAAATAGAAAAAATTAGCTTTAATTTGATATATAAATAATAAATGTACGTTATAAACGTAAAAATATGTCAAAATCATACCTGTTTATACCTGGCTGCGAAGAGGTGCGGCCAAGTGCGCAACGGCAACCGTGATTTTTCAAAGTCTTTATATATTTTGCCGTGAAGTAGATGATATTTTATTTTAAAAACAAGTGATTGAATTTTTTTCCGAAAAATTAATTAACAATAATTTAATTTAAAATACTAGCGGCCACATTTTGATAGGCAATTTGGTAGATATATATTCTTCTAATCTTAAATATACGTAAAAATTAGGTTTTTAGCAAAAACTCGATGAGTGCATTAATTTTGCAGCCGGTTCCTAAACTATATTGTTCTATCGTCTCCCCCTTTGCTGCCTCTTTCCGCATTCGTTGGCTAGACCCTCCTTCTCCTTAACCTCTTCTTTCGTGTCGGTTCCTGTTTTGCCGACTTCGTTCTCTTTTCTCCCGCTCGCATTAGCGCCTCGCACTCCTACCATTTTCCGCGCTCGTTTCCTAATCTATTTCACCACTTTTCTTCTTCCTCGCCCTCACTATCCTCTAGCACCACTCTTCCTCGCCCACACTCCTGGTATCTCTCCGCCTACTCTTTCCTCTCACTCTAAAACTAGCTTTCTCTCTCTTCGAAATCCCTCTCTAATCTTACTTCTAATCGCACTTGTAACCCACGCTTACCTCTCACATACACTCCCTCTCTAACCAAGTCCATTTATGTAATACTTATGATTGTATTTTATTGTTTTCTTTATCAGCTTGACTTATCAGTTCTTGATGAAAATCAGCAGTAATTTTTTAAAAAACATTCTTTCTTCGGAATATGGCTACTCGATACGTCATAGTCACATATATTTATGTATTTAAAGAAAACAAAGATGGGAAAGAGGCAGCGCTCCGTCTATAGTATCCTATCTCTTTTACTTTTTGTCGCACACTTATCATGTCACAATACGCGCTGCCAAACCAATGAGGAGCGTTTCATTGCCGCGTTCGCTCGTTCGTTCGTTCGTTCGTTTGTTTGTTTGTTTGTTTGTTTGTTTGTTTGTTTGTTTGTTTGCTTGTTTGTTTGTTTGTTTGTTTGTTTGTTTGTTCATACGAGACGTATCACTTTTTAAAGTTATATTTCTTTTAACACGTTATAGAAAAAACGATAAGAGTGAATTTTTACGATGCGGTGGCATAGCAACATACAATTAATAGCATAAATCTAGTCGATAAATTTCCCTTAAGTTTAGTGTGGACTAATAGGTATAGTTAAAATATTTATTCTTGTATTTCTATAGACGCAACACGTGCTTTATATCAGTACAGATAACAATTTTTTATGTGTTTTAAATTCTTACTTATATTGATGATTGATATTA